TGTTTGTTTGTTTGTTGAATTAGAAGGACATTACTGAGTTTTAATGTTTTTATGCAACAATTTTTATCTTGTTTATATATTTGTCTTTATTATTGTAAATAACTTTATGTAATAAATACTGGAGCCAGATTCTCTGTTTTTTTGTGATTTTTTTTTCCACTTGAACTTAATAAATTGTATGCTTCAAGATGTTGCAGCTGATGCCTTTAGGAGGTATTCCTGATAGAGGGACCTGATGCCGGTGCCAGATACACCAGCGCCCTCCATCAAGCATCCCAAAGGGCCACCACCACGTTATAACTGCCCCACAGAGCAGATGGGAAATCGCTTGTTTGCCTTTTTTCTTCTCCACACCCTGTACCTAACCCCTGCAGGAGCATAGTCATCCTGAAGCAAGAGTCTGCAATGGCTTTGTGTCCTCCTTGCTTGCTTTCTTTTTTTAAAAATATCTTTATTTTATTTGTTTATTTTTTATGTGGTACTGAGGATCAAACCCAGGGCTTCGTAAGCAAGCGCTCTATTGCTGAGCCGAAACCCCAGCCCCCCTCTTGGCTTTCTTGAATTAAACTGTCTTTCTATTACAAAATTCCTACTCCATTCCGAGTGGCTGCTGCTGCTGCCTCCCAGGCAGGGAGACCCTTCCTGCTCTTGGGCATATTTTGACTCAGAAGTTGAATATAATTTGTATTCAATCTGGGAACCCTTCAATATTTGTGTTTTTAATAAGCTTCCTCAAATTATTTTTCAAAATGGATAGGGAAGGAAATAAATTCATCTCTAATGCCCAATGTACATCCGGTTACTTAACATAGCGCCAGTACCAGTAATCTCTTGTTTGTTCTCTCTTCCTTTTTCTTGAGCTTAGGCTGATCACAGAATTGGAAGTCTTGAGGACAATATGAATACATGGATATTTACAGTGGGAAGTTTATATTGATGGGGAAAAATTCAGCATATCTTTTCCTTTTTCTAAGGAGAACAAAGGAGAGACTGGTAACCATCCTTCCTCCAAGGACTGCTCACTCCCTTCCCTTGCATACAAGCAATGTGCAGTACAAGGATACGCAGTGCCCTTTCTGTGGTCTGCTTCCCCTTGACGCTTGTAATGAAGAAGTCATTAGTGATGATATGAAGAAAGGATTTTGGCAGTGTAGATACTCTGTTTTGGGGGGCAGGTATTGGGAGGAAGAAGGAAATTGAAAAACAACACCACTCAAGAGCTGATTGAAATGAAATATGACCTCACCTGTGACAGTACCCTCCCACACAGAGACATCCCAAAGTTTTCTAGATTTATTGTGGAAAGAGGACATACCTGAATGTTGAGTGCTCAGATGAGCATTTCATTCTATTTCTATAGTGTGTGTTTCCTTCCATTATGTGGCAAACCCCTTGAAAACAAGGATTGTCCTTGTTTGCTTGTAACATGAAGGCTCGAGTTGGATTAAGTGCACATTGAAAGTACATACATTAACTGGATCTACCACTAGAGGGCAACAAGGCACCTGCTCAGGCCCACAACAGCAGTTCTTTAAGGAATAGATTCTTAAATGGTTGTCAAGAGAAGCCATAAAGGCAGTGTGTGTCATATAAGGTTGCCAGATGTAACAAATGAAAATACAGAACACCCATTTAAATGTGAATTACATTCGAATTTTAGGTAAACTATATTTTGATATTCCAAAAATTGCTTGAGATATATTTACACTAAAAATATCTCGTGTTGTGTAATGCTTTGAATGTGCTAGCATTTTACTTATAGAAAAATGATTGTGAAATTTTTAGTATGAAAGTATGTCATTCCCTCCTTGAAATCTGAATTATTTCTACCACATAAACATGGATGTCATCTTTGTGCAGCATCTGAAATTACAGATATATAACAGTTTTTTGTTTGTTTTGTTGTTGTGTACAAGCAGGTTCCAAGCACTGTTTGGAACATACCTATTCTAAAACGCTGTTCATTTGTTTATGTGAAATTCACATTTAACTGGGTGTCCTGTATTTCATCTAGCAACACTAATCATGTTAAGATACATAAGTACCCTTGGGCCCTCCAGTGCCCTAAACCAATATAAATAATACTTTATACAGAAGTGGGTATTAGCTACATTATGCAAAGCAGAGTTATTTACAATTTAACACATGGCTAAGAGAGTTAACATCACAAACATTTTTATAGCCATAAAAATAAATTCCTTCATAATTCCATCCTGATGAGGACATGGGCAGAAAGGTGCCTCCCATCTGGGCTGTGTGGGTCTCTCTGAGAATCTGCCTGCTTATCACTTCCCACACCTGGCTCTGATCAGCACATGTCCTGTTTCAGTTACTTCTTTTTTTTTTTAATTAGTTACACGTGAGAGTACAATGATCTTGACATATCATACATTTGAATCAAATGGGGTATAATTTCTCATCGTTATACAGAATACATGTATGATGATGTGAGGGGGGGAAAAAGAAGTGTGTGACATTAGATTGGGTAGAGAGAAGTGATGGGAGGGGAGGGGAGGGGAAGGGGGATAGGAAGGACAGCAGAATAAAATAGACACTAGTATTGCTGTATGACTAATGTGATCCTGCAACCTGTTTCGGTTACTTCTAAGTTTGACTTTTATTTCTCAAGGCATGTGAGGTTCTCGAGTACAAGGGGTTGTATTGATTCATTTTTGCATCCTCTATTGTAACTGCTCGATAAAAGGTCTTTTGAAATGGATTCACTGTTCTCTTCTGAGTTTTTTCCTTCAGATAAAGGAATCACTTGGCCAAAAAAGCAGGACTGCTTTTGACCTCAAACAGGTCCTCCTGCTGTCAGCACCCATGGCACTCCATTCTTCCATGGAATGACTGGCCTAATGACCCAACCCTCAGGGCAATTTGTTGTAAAGGCAGAACTAGGACAGTCTTGTTCGATGCCCTGTACTCAGCACAGTGGCTGGCCGCAGAGTTTGACTTCACACACCTTTTTAAGTGAAAGAATGAGCTGGAGGCCTTTACTTGTTCCCAGGAATCCACCCTGGCAAGTGTCTTGGAGCCTGGAATGACAGAATTGGAAATTCAGAGACAAAGAAGTCCGGGGAATGAGGCTGTGAGTGGGCCCACAGGAATATGCCCCAAAGGGTGCAGGCCTCTGGTCCCAGGCAGGCGCTCATCGAGAGCACCCATTCGGGACAGGCACTAAATGGCCAGGTGGACAGGGCAGTCAGCCCTCATCTTCAGCCTCTCAGCGTTCACACACGGTGACCTTGAGGAGAGCCACCATAATGGAAGCTATGGCTGGACCCAATGGCAAGGCCTTACCCGCCTTGGCCCTGACCAATGCTGAGCCCCTGCAGTGTGCTCCACTCAGCGGTCCACTCACACCTGGAGGAGCAGCAGTTCATTGTCACGGGGATTTCACTGTGTCCTGCATGCCCAGCAATGCCTCAGGCCCCCACTACCCAAGGGGCCACAGAGTGTGAGAAAGCTGGTCTCCATCATGGTGCTATTAGGAGGTGGTGACCCTGAAAGAGGCTGGGCCTAGTGGAAGGTCCTCTGATGATCGGGGCCATGCTCTTGAAGGGGACATTGGGACCCTGGCCCCTCCTTCCTCTCTTTGGCTTCCTAGCCAGGAGGCAAGTGGTTTTGCTCCTCCACACACTCCCACCACGAATGTGCTGCCTCATCCAAGGTAACAGGCCAAGCAATCACAGACTGCTAAAGGTTTCAGCCAAAACAAACCTTTCCTCTTCGTAAGTCTATTTTTTCAAGTATGTGTTATAGTACTGGAAAGCTAACAGTACCTATATTCATTTTCTGTTGCTACTCTAGTTATAGTAGCTTAAAACAACACAAAATTATTATATTACAGATCTGTGACCTCTGTAGTCAGAAGTCCAAAACGGGTGTCTCTGGGCTAAAATCAAGGTGTCCTCAGGGCTGTGTTTCTGCCTGGAGAC